GAATCTTGTGCTAATTTCATTTCGTATCATAGCTTATATAGTTTGATTTTTCTGTCTGGGTTCTGAGGAATTTCTAAGAGCTTGAGAAAGTAAGGAGATCCTAGATATAATAAGAGAGAAACTGTTCAATGTTTCTGTAAAAAGACATAAATTTCTTCTTTTTCTTTTTTTTTGGCTGTTTTTTCATTTCTTAATTCGTTGCCAAATTCTCTTTTTGGTAACATTCCTTTTGTCTGTTTTCATATTCATAGCTTCTGATTTGAGAATAATATGCTTCTAATTGCTTTTAAAAGCTGCCTCGGTTTGTGATTCTTTATGATTCTTATTGTGTTACTATCGCAATTTGAGTTGCATGTTTAGTTTGAATTTGGAAAAAAGCTTGATGATTTATTGTCCAAATTCAGTTTCCTGGTGTGATCTGCTTAGGATTTTCCTAATTGTGTTGAGGTTTTGGTGAAGGGATTAAAAATAAGTTTGGCAAAAGACGAAATGTGCAAGTGTTATGTCAGAGTAGAGGGGAAGTTTCTGCAGAATCTCAGATGTTATTTGATGTTGCTTCTGTTCTATCTTGTTCATGGAGGCTGGTCTTGACACTGTCATGAGAAATTCAGTATTCTAAAAGATGTGTTTCAATAACAAGGAAACCGCAAATGAAGTGGAAACCGAGAGGCAAGCGTTTGGTTCATCTGAAGAAGATGAATCTCTAGTTGGAGATACCGCTGGAAGTGCCAACAATTTGTTACAGCTTTCTCAACAACAACAACAGCCGGTAGCTCCTCTTGTGAAGTGGGAGAGGTATCTCCCGGTTAGATCGCTTAAAGTTCTTTTGGTGGAGGATGATGACTCAACTCGCCATATTGTTACTGCCCTTTTGAAGAACTGCAGCTATGAAGGTGTTTTGATTGATTTGATCATCCTTGTTTACTAATCACATTGTTGCTCATGACTAACTTTTGTAAATTTGGAAACTTTTTGTCAGTTACTGCTGTTTCGAATGCTCTTCAAGCCTGGGAAATCCTAGAAGACGAGAACAGTTGCATCGATCTTGTCTTAACAGAGGTTGTCATGCCTGTGCACTCTGGAACTGGTCTATTGTGCAAGATTATGAGCCATAAGACACTTAAGAACATCCCTGTCATAAGTACTTGCTTAAATCCCCATTATTATTTTCCTGATCTAGTTTTAGTATGTGACGCTCCATTTCGTGTAACACAAGATGTGACATTTTTTTTGTAGTGATGTCATCTCATGATTCTATGGTTCTGGTCTTTAAGTGTTTGTCGAATGGTGCTGTTGATTTTCTCGTGAAGCCCATTAGAAAGAACGAGCTAAAGAATCTTTGGCAGCATGTGTGGAGAAGATGTCAAAGCGTAAGAGTTCCGCTTTGGTTACCTGTTTCTACAAAAGTTACTCTGTGTTTGCTTCTTACTTATGTGTTTTTCTTGGTTTTCCAGTCTAGCGGTAGCGGAAGTGAGAGTGGGATACATCACAAGAAGTCGGTGAAAACTGAAAGGTCAGAAAGCGAAGCCAGCATGAGTGATGAAGTTCACGGGAATGAAAATGGGAGTAATGGATTGAGTAACCGAGATGGTGGGAGTGATAACGGAAGTGGGACTCAGGTAAACTGTTTTATGGCGATTGATAATAACAATGTCTAAGGAATCTGGTTTTGAATTTTTGATTGGTTTTGCATGATAAAAATAGAGCTCTTGGACCAAAAGAGTCGTTGATATCGACAGTGCCTCGATAGCATCGCCTTCACATCAATTACCCGATGCACCCAATATTAATCCGGGAACATTTGGCAACACGAATGAAAAAATAGGTAAAACACGAATTTATTAGTCATTATGATATCCTTAACACAGATCTTACCGAAACATTTACCGAAATTCTCTGTTAAGACTCTAATTCTATAGATGATATTGCTATAGGCACAGATTCACAGGCAGGAATGTGTATGAGTAAGAAAGCTGAAGAACCAGAAAATCTGGAGAAGGATGCAAAATATTCTATTCAAGCTTTGGAGAGAAACAATGACGACATGCTGAATCACTCTTCTGGTAACTCACAAGTAGAAAGCAAAACACCTTCAACTAATCCAGAAGATTTGCAATCACTCGAGCTAACTCTGACAAGACAAAGAGAGGCTGGTAATCAAAGAGTTCTGAGGCATTCTGATCACTCTGCATTCTCAAAGTGAGTTCTTAACCCTCAGTAACATCATAAAAGAATGTCTCAAACCTGTGACTGATTTGGAGTTATTAATTCTTGTGTGATATACAGATACAACAACACTGCTACTTCTGCTAATAAGGTATTGTTTCCGATTTTTTTTCAAAGATTCTTGGTGCTGTTTTTGAAATCTACACTGGTTTCATCAAAAGCTTTAATTTTGCTGAGTAGGCTCCAGAAGAAAATGTGGGAAGTTGTTCTCCTCATGACAGTTCCGTTGCAAAAATGATGGGTTCGAGTTCGAGCAGTGATAATCCTTTGAATCAACTGTCTAGTGGAAGCGAACGGGCGGCACAAAGAGAAGCTGCTTTGATGAAGTTTCGCATGAAACGAAAAGAGCGATGTTGTGAGAAAAAGGTATTCTCTAAACAAGCTTATGCTCTCGTTTCTTGCGACAAAGTTATCATC